GAAGGGTCTTCGGGCCCCTGAGCTGACACTGTTGTGCGCACTCAGTAGCTGGGAGACGGCAGATGACCATGTGAGACCTCCGCTGGTCCCCGGCTGGGAGGAGGGGAAGAAGATTCCGCCCGGTACGCCAGTCACATGACCTCTCATCTTCCTCTGCAGCACCTGTGTGAACGGCACCTTCTCCTGTACAGACTTGCTGTGTCCGCTCTATGGGCCCTGGACTGACTGGGGCCCCTGTTCTGTCAGCTGCGGTGGAGGCCACAGGTGGAGGAGCCGCTCTTGTACGGAGAGGAGTCCAGGTGGAGCCGCCTGCGGGAGTGAGAGCCGAGAGGTGGAGGAGTGTAATAGTGAGCCGTGCCCAGGTGAGTGGAGACCTCCTTTCATGCACACACACAGGCAGCCAATCACAGGACAGGCAGCCAATCACAGGACAGACACAGGCAGCCAATCACAGGACAGACAGCCAATCACAGGACAGACAGCCAATCACAGGACAGACAGCCAATCACAGGACAGGCAGCCAATCACAGGACAGACACAGGCAGCCAATCACAGGACAGACACAGGCAGCCAATCACAGGACAGACACAGACAGCCAATCACAGGACAGACACAGACAGCCAATCACAGGACAGACACAGGCAGCCAATCACAGGACAGACAGCCAATCAGAGCAATAAAAGCTGAATTCTGATTGGCTGCCGCTTGCTCTGCTGGATTGGTTGGGGGCCCGGTGACGTCATTCTTCATTTCTGACCGTGAAACGTTTCCTCCGTCCAGCGAGCTGCGCGCTCAGCGATTGGTCGGCGTGGAGCCAATGCAGCGCCAGCTGTGGGGGAGGAATATCCGAGAGGAACCGAACAGTCATGCGTGGAGCCAATGCAGGGCCAGCTGTGGGGGATGAATATCCGAGAGGAACCGAACAGTCCTGGTGGAGGCCGACCCAGGCGGAGAACCGTGCCCGACTCTGCTGGTCCTCCATCAGACCTGCAACTCCCACAACTGCACTCCAGGTACCTCGGGGGCGGGGCCAGTGTCTGCATCGGATTGATTGATCGTTTATCAGTTTATAATCTCACATCAATCATCTCCCCGCAGAGTGTCCCGCAGGTCAGATCTACCGCGATTGCGCCAATTCCTGTCCTCTGACCTGTACCGACCTCCGACCTGACACCGCCTGCCTGAACCAGACCTGCCAGCCCGGCTGTGCCTGCCCCCGAGGAGAGGTGAGCGCTGTGATTGGTCAATAACGTCCCATCCTTCCCCGTGATGCCCAACTTCCCTAATATGAGGGAGGAGCCCAGGGATTGGAAT